AGATGGAAGAGAACGAACAATTGGCATCACTTATGAAAGGGCTTAGGGGTCAAAATTTAAATGATTCTAATTTTGCTGCCGACGATGTTGAACTTCGCCTTGTAGAGGTCTTATTCGCAATCCATCACTTTTTCTTCATTTCAATCATTTCTTAATTTTTATAAATAAGAAGTTAGAACTGTCAATCGATATGTACATACATGTTCTTAAATCCAAATTTCTTGATTTTCTTTATACTTTTTTCAGACTGATGAAAGTAGCGAATTATTGCCGATGGTATATGATCCTGCTATCATCTCTGCATATTGGGGTAAAAGGCCACGAGCTGTTGCCACACGTATCATTCAATTAACGTCTGTTGCAGGAGGATTTCTTTCGCGTCTTGCTTGGGACGTGATAAATAAGAAGGTTAAAGAAGTAAGTTGATCTTTCATGCAGTCTGCACATCTGTTTTACGAATTTCATCTTTGTGAAATCACAAAAACCATATAGATTGTGATTTTTTTCTGCTTCCCTTATTCTTACTTCTGTGTTGTTTTTTTTTTTGCTATGTTGATCAGAATGAAGTTTCTCGGGCAATTGAGTTGAGGGAAATTGTAACCTCTTTGGGTCCCGCATACATAAAACTTGGGCAAGCATTGAGCATTAGGCCAGACATATTGTCCCCTGCTGCAATGACTGAGCTTCAAAAGCTTTGTGATAAGGTTCCATCATATCCAGATGATATAGCCATGGCACTTCTAGAAGAAGAACTTGGAGAGCCATGGCAAAACATCTATTCAGAGCTCACAACTTCTCCTATAGCAGCAGCCTCACTTGGGCAGGTGTATAAGGGCAGATTAAAGGAAAATGGGGATTTGGTTGCTGTTAAGGTACAAAGGCCTTATGTACTTGAAACAGTAACAGTTGATTTATTCATCATAAGGAACTTAGGATTGGCTCTTCGACGCTTTCCTCAGGTAAACTATTTTTCAAAATGCAGTTTCATATAACATGTTCTGTTTTTCTTGATTATCTGAGGGTAGAAAACAATTGGTTAATGTTATTTGACTATTTGTTTGTTTCATTTATAGATATCTTTGGATGTTGTTGGGTTAGTTGATGAATGGGCTGCACGTTTCTTTGAGGAGCTTGATTATATTAATGAGGGTGAAAATGGAACATATTTTGCAGAGATGATGAAAAAAGACCTTCCACAAGTAAGTTTTCACCCTTTAGTCGAATGCATTTTGTGTCTTTTTGAAGGATACATAATTACATATTAACAAGTTAACCTATTCCAGGTTGTGATACCAAAGACATACACTAAATACACATCAAGAAAAGTTCTTACTACACAATGGGTAGATGGTGAAAAGCTTTCACAAAGTACAGAAAGTGATGTTGGGGAGCTAGTGAATGTTGGAGTTATATGCTACCTAAAGCAGGTATACTTTTTTATAGAATAAATGGAATAGTTTAGAGAACATGTTAAACATCATTTTAAAATAAATGTTATCTATCTTTTTTTTTTTTTTTTTTTTTACTCAATGTCTTTTGCAATGTAGTTGCTTGATACAGGCTTCTTCCATGCTGATCCACACCCTGGAAATATGATTCGCACTCCTGATGGAAAGCTAGCTATTCTTGATTTTGGTAAGAATTAATTATTTAATTATTTAATTCTTTAATTCTTTAATGTTGGAATTGAAGGAATTCTCATATAAAGCTTTTTATATTATATGTAGTTACAAGTTATAGGTTTAACACTATTCTATATATTTATTTAATCATTGTTATAGAATTTATCATTTACAAAAATAAAAAAACTAAACATAATAACAGCTAATCAAAACCCAAATAAAGATTATAATAATTTTTTTTCTTATTTTTAGAAAATACTATTATAATTCGGGTTAATCTAAAAAAAGACCTTATATTTTGTGTTTCTTCCGGATTAAACCTCTTTTTTTTTTTTGCCTGAAAAGACCTTGTATATTTTCATTTTTTCCGAAAAAAACCCTCAACTTTCTAAATGCGTCCCCCTCAACTTTTTTAGTTTTTCTCGAAAAAACCCTCTCAATTTACAATTTTTTTAAGAAAAAATGACTATTTGACTATTGTTTTCCATACAGGTCTTGTAACAAAATTGACAGATGATCAAAAATATGGAATGATTGAAGCAATTGCTCACCTAATTCATCGAGACTATGATGCTATTGTTAAAGATTTTGTGAAACTTGGTTTTATTCCAGAAGGGGTAAATTTGGATCCAATTTTACCTGTTTTAGCCAAAGTATTTGATCAAGCCCTTGAAGGTGGAGGAGCAAAAAATATCAACTTTCAAGAATTAGCATCTGATTTAGCACAAATAACATTCGATTATCCCTTTCGCATTCCTCCTTATTTTGCTTTGATAATTAGAGCAATTGGAGTTCTTGAGGGTATTGCTTTAGTAGGGGATCCAGAATTCGCCATTGTTGATGAAGCATATCCTTATATTGCACAGGTATTATTTTTTTATTTATTTATTTATTTTTTTTTTCATGTCTCATTATTTGATATTTAGGCTGTGTTTAGTATGTCACAGCTAGCTGATTAACTGGCTTATAAGCTAGCTTTTTAGGAGGTTTTTGAAAATTTTCCAAATATACCCTTAGTTAATTATAAAAAACATATTATTCTAAATGCCCTTTTATGTCATTTTATATCTTTCGGCTAGTTTTCAGCAAACATCATTTTTCGTCAACTACCTTATATTTTAGGAGTTTTTTGAAAAATTTCCAAATATACCCTTAGTTAATTATAAAAAACATTTTATTCTAAATGCTCTTTTATGTCATTTTATATCTTTCAGCTAGTTTTTATCAAACATCATTTTTTGTCAGCTATCTTATAAGCTAGCAGCTAACTTTTCAGCTACCAGCTAGCTTTTCAATTAGTCTGCCAAATATAGCCTTAATCTAGTGTTCGTATGTGCATGCCTTTTTTTAATATTTATTGAGCATTTTACTAGAAAAATATTTATAATTTTGGCAATTTGCAGTTTAACCACTTATATTTCATTTTTTTCCAATCAAACAATAAGGTTTGACATTTCTAAAATTAACCAATCTGACATGTGGTCAAAATGGTTGATTTGGAAAGTTACTGGTGAAAACCTGACAAAATTACATGATATATAATTTGGAAAAATGTTATTAAATTTGAAATTACAAGTTTCATCTGACATAACAAAAATAAAATTATCAGTTTAAACTGATATAACAAAGTCAAAATGGGTAATCTGAAAATAAAAAAATGTTTGAATTGAAATTTCTATCTTTTGATTGGAAAAAATTAAGTATTTACCACTTAAACTACAAAACTGTCAAAAATATACTAGTTAATCGAAAATATAATGTTGTAATAGAAAGAAATGAAAGCATGATGCTATTAGACATAAATAAATATAATTTCTCAAATTTGGTCCCTGTATTTAGAGGTTTTGTTTCGTTTAGGTCCAAAACAGAATCTCTTTTCACTTGCTCTGTTAAGCATTTGTAAAAAGACTATTTTCCCCTCTAGTAGATATTTTTTTATCAACTTCTATAACAAATTATTATTATTGTTGTAAACAAATTTATTATTATTTTTTTTTTTTGTAATGTCAGAGGCTACTTACTGATGAATCACCACGTTTAAGGAGTGCTTTGCGATACACTGTATATGGAAAAGCTGGAGTTTTTGATGCCGAAAGATTCATTGATGTGATGCAAGCTTTTGAGAGCTTTATAACAGCCGCCAAAAGTGGTGGAGGGGAGGATCTAAACGGTGACATGGCAGAACTCGGACTCCTACAAAATCAGACAAATTTCACATTCCCAAGGCTTCAATCACCTGCATCTCAGGAACAACTACAGCCTATTCAAACACGAGCAGCTTTAGCTTTTCTGTTATCCGACAAAGGAAATTTCTTCCGAGAATTCCTCTTGGATGAGGTACTTACATATTATTAAAAGACAAAACTACCCTTGAAATAACAAAAATATTAAAAAAAAAAAAAGTTAATTTATTTATTTATTTATTAACAGATAGTGAAAGGAATCGATGCTGTTACAAGAGAGCAATTGGTCCAAGTGATGTCAGTATTAGGACTCCAAAACCCCACCCCAATTTTCAGCATGGTTCCTACCTTTGTAAACATCAGGCCAACTGGCTTAATCCCTTACATAACAGAAGAGGACAAAATCATACTCAACAATGTTCAAAAAATCATTGAATTCCTAACCTCTTCAGATTCAAGACCTCGATCATCCGATCAGGTATGTACGACTCCATTAGTATCATTTCATATTGTCATGTCATGTCATGTATAACAAACAATAATTACTGTTTTTTGTGTTTGATTTATGTACACAGGGTTTAGATGTGAATCGCATAATTCAAGAGCTTATTCCAATAATGCCTGGCTTATCAGCCAAAGTGCTACCAGAAGTGCTAACGAGGCTATCTTCTAGAGTTATGGCGCGTTTGATTCGGGATACGTTTTTGTAAATAAAGTCCACCAACATGGCCCACTGAAATCCGTGCATATATACATATAGGAATTGTTTGTGAAGCTTGTATAAGTTGATACCTGAGATTGATTTCTTTGCAAGTTGTATACAAAAGTCAACTCGGAAAATGGATAGATGTAAAGTAAGAAAAGAAAAGTAGAAAAGAGATCAAGTGCTTTTACTAGTCCTCTATCAAATAAGAAAATGTAATACAACACATTTTATTCACAAATCCTTTTCAACCTCATTGTATCTTTCTTTCTCACTAATCCTTACCCCATTCGTAGCACGTGATAACAACTCATTAAAGAGAGTTTGTTTTACCTCAATATTTTGGATCTATATGTATCATGTAATTTCACTATCTTTATATAATAATCCCATCATCACAACAATGGAGGCTTCATATAACATTTGCAATATTTTTTTAAACATCCTTAAAAAACATGGAACCTAACTATGTATGCCTCAACCACAAAAAGCGGGCATGTTTTACATAAACACATGATACATTTATTAAAAAAAAAAAAAAAAAGACTTAATACATTATGAGAGAAAAGGTAGCCTACGTTCTCCTGATGCATAAGAGATTATATTCCTTTTTAATGGAGCAAAAACATTTGCGCCATTGAATGCAGCAGCTCTTAATATATTAAGTGGTCCAAAGTCAACAGAGTAAGCTTTCTGAAAACCATCCAAAACTGCCATCATTGCTATATTTGCGGTTTTTCTCTCAGTTTCATATTTCTTCAGCAAAGTTACCTGCACACGTGGCAAACATCATTAAAACAAATGTAATTTATTATAAAATTATTACTTTTTAGTTATTTTGAAGAGTATTATATTGGTTTGGTTTATGGGAATCAAATGAATTTCGTATACTTGGTTTATATTATATGTATATATGTATTTACAAAAATAAAAAAATTGAAGATGATAGAACCTTGAAAAAACCAGATAAGTTATTATATTATTAGGGACCATATTATTAATACCCTGTAAGCTAAATTTTAAAAAAAATATATACAATTTAATCAAAATAATCAAAAATTTCAAACATATTAGTGTCCTTAAAATTTACATAAATCAAAACCGGTTACATCTTACATCCTAATTTTCATTCCATTTGTTTAAGGAATGAAATTTATCAAGATGGAAGGAATCACAATTCCATTGGAATGAACAATTCCATTCCTCCTTTGATTCCATCATTCATATAAAAAAAGAGGTTATGAAATATGAATTATTGAATTACTCACCTCACCAATATCCGACCCTACCGCCACACCATCACCAATCACATTCGAAAGCGCCGCCACATCAGCATACCCCATATTAACCCCTTGACCAGCCAACGGGTGAACTGTATGCGCCGCATCACCAATCAAAACCACACGTTTCGCCACATAATCATTCGCATGCATCAAAGAAAGCGGAAACGCCATCCGCTCAGAAACCACCTTCACCACTTTCGGCGGAATCTCAAATCCCTCGTTCACCGCCGACGTCACATTCGGTTTGAAAAACGACGGAATCACATCACCGCCAAGAATCTGCGATTCCGGTCGCGGACCGTGGCCGGAATCGAGCGCGTGGTTTACGGCTTTGATGAAATCGTGTTCGTTCATTATTTTGTGATTTGATGCGTCTTTCGGAGACATGGTCCAAACGATGTTGCTAAAATTGTTGCCGATTGGGAGAAGGGCGATGGGGCCCGCGGGGAGGAATCGTTGCCATGCGGTGGAGTTTTCGGAGGGGTGTTCGACGGTGCAGATGACGGCGCTTTGGGAGTAATTCCATCCCGTGGTTTTGATTCCAGATAATTCACGGACACGTGATTTGTTTCCGTCTGATCCGACCTGTTGCAAAGGAATGGAATCGGTTAGAAGGAATTGGAATCGGAAGGAATTGGAATCTAACAATCTGTCATGTGTTTGGTTGGGAACCAGGAGGGAAATGGAATGGAATCATAATTGAGTTTTGGAATTTTGTTTATGTTTGAATGTGTTTTTGTTGTTGTAAATGTATATGATGAGGGTATTTTGGTCTTTTAATATAAAAAAAGGATGGAATGGAATCTTGGAATCTGTAATACGTTTGGTTGGAAGGAAATGGAATGGAAAACGATAAATGATTGTTGAAATTTTGTTTATGTTTGAATGTGTTTTATGTAATGTGAATGTATTTGATGATGATGAGGGTATTTTGGTCTTTTAATATATAAAAAAAGGATTGAATGGAATCTTGGAATCTGTAATGCGTTTGGTTGGAAGGAAATGGAAAGGAATTGAATGAAAAACGATAAATGGTTTTCAAAATTTTGTTTATGTTTGAATGTATTTTGTTTATTGTGTATTAACAATGATGAGGGTATTTTGGTCTTTTAATATAAAAAAAGGATGGAATGGAATCTGTCAAAAGAATTGGAATCAGTAATGCGTTTGGTTGGAAGGAAATGGAAAGGAATTGAACGAAAAACGATAAATGGTTTTTGAAATTTTGTTTATTGAAAATGTATATGATGATGAGGGTATTTTGGTCTTTTAAAAAAAAACTTTGATCCTACAAACTTACCACCAATTTAGCATAGACATTTGTGCCATCAGTCAACTCCAACTTTGCTAAATTTCCAAGACTCTTTGATGAACCATTTGAAACTGATGATCGGGTTGGAAGTGACATTGATGACAATCTTGCAGGATAGATTGTTTTCTTCAAATCTTTCTTCTGTTCAATTTTGAATTTATTTCCATCAATCAAAACATATTAAATGACATAACAGAACAGGTTGTACTATGTCAGTCAGTCTCTGACACTGTGTTATGTAAATGCCCAAAAGGTCATTTTAAAACAATTTACTTACCTGCAAACATGACAATAAAGATTTATGTAGCACCTTGTTCTCCACAACACATCTTTCAAAAAAAATAATAATAAGATTATTAGATAATGTGACAAAGTATAAAAAATTAAAAGAAAACAAGAAAATGTGCTTTACCCTAAAACATCTTTGTCTGCATCTCTTGCATTGTACCTTGTGAACCCAAACCCAGTGTAATCCCATACCTATGAATGAAAAGGGTAAATTAGGAAATAAAGAGCATCTTTGATAGTGGAAGCGTGGAAGGGCAATTTCGGCATTTTTTAGGTTTATTTTCTGTTACAGGGTTAGCCTATAAGATATTGGGATAGTGGAGAGGAAAGTTGGTTGCTATTTTGGTCAAAAACTAAGGACTACTCCAACAACTACACAGATTATGATTAAAAAATTCTATTGATAATTAATTAATTAATTATTACCTGCATTTTATCAAAGTAAGCATGTCGATGTTGTTCAACAAATTCCCAAGCACCAATACCTACAAAATAGGGAATCCCAAATTCCCAATTATTGTTTTATAGACTAAAAGGCTTGAAAAGAAGAAAGTATGTGAAGATGAAGTTCCCTTTTTGCATACAAAAAGAAATCAAATTAATACCTTTAAAAAGAGATATAGTTGCAGGTGTGACTGTACTGACCCTTGGATCTGGAGGGTCATCTTTCTTGATGGAGGGCATATTTGTCAAAGCAGGATTGCTGTCAATTATGGCAATAGACAAGTGTTTTGTCAATGGCATACTTGCTGCAACCAAATAGGACAAAAAGAAAACATGGGGTGAAAATATAGAAACTAAAAAGACATAAGAATCTATAATATGTGAAAAAGACGTGAATGCCCTCCTCATTCTCATATCCTAAATAGCCCTTGAAAGCTTGTCCAGTATATGTTCTACTCTATTTTCGTTACTTGGTCATATAACACTATTATTATTTATTTATTGTGGGTTGATGTTGATGTTTCATATAGTTCTTATGATGGAGGGCATTTATGTAATTTGGGATCTGTTGTTGTTGTAACCTATAAGAGAACTCATGAACCAGAAAAAGTTGAGAAAAGAAGATAAACAAATACCTAGTGAACAAGCAAGGGCCATTCCAACCATGCCACCTCCAACAATAGCAATGTCATGCTGAGGAACATCATCTGTAACACCTTCATCTTCCTAAAAAGAAAAAAAGAATGATATAAATTGAAATAATGGAGGACAAAATTGAAAGAAAACATTCTAGTTGATATGACAGAAATCAAATGTATATCAGGAAACAGAAATATTACTTTGTTAAATTGGGTTTCGTATGGAACATTGTTTAATTTTGCCGATGCGTCATTGCAGAATGTTCTTGAAGCCTGTTTGAATGTGAATATGTTTGAAGCAAGCCTTTTTGTTGTAATCAACCTATTCCAACAACAAATTATAGATTAAAAATCTGATCAAGAGTACAGAAATTAGGAATAGGTCAACAAAACTGCATCACTCTCAGCAACAAATGCAGGATTGATACACGTATTACCCGTTCTACACAGAAACAGAGCCCTAATCTCTTCAAATTTAAAGCTTACAGAAATTTCGCCCACTTTTATATCCAAATTAACAGCAATTAAATGGAATCAAAGCCTATAAGCTTCAAAATTTACACTTAATAATCGAATTATAGGATCATCGCTCATATAACAGAAAATCAAAACATCAGCAACAAACACCACGGGTATAATAATTCACAAGGGCGAAGTGGTTTACCTGCTCATGCCTCCGGAGGTTTTGTTAACGACTGAGAAAAGGAGTGAAAGAAGGGTTGGAGGTGATGGTAAGAGGGGGCGTCTTTTTCCTTTCTACGCACAGTTGCAGGTAGCACGTGACTCGTTGATGGACGCAAAATTTGGGTTTTCAATTCAGAGGTGCATAAATCATACAATAAATCATCTTAAAAACCATTATTTATAGGTCTAAGATTTGATTTAACTCCAAAATATATATATATATATATATATATATATATATATATATATATATATATATATACTAGTGAAGTTAAAAAGGCCGGCCTAAGCACGGCCCACGAAAGGTGTTTCGGTAAGATAATAAAATGAACTTCACTGCTATTTTAGATAAGATAAAAAAACGAAATTATGTTGGTATTGTTGGTAAAAAGAAAAGTACATTAGTAAATCTAATCTCATAAATAGAGTATTTTTTTATTGTGGGGTTATCTTTTATTGTAAACTAATCCACTTGCCATAGTTGTTGCTTTGTCATTTTGAATATAATTATTAAGTAAATTTTAATTGCTTCCTTGACTAACAATAGGGCTTGACCTTTATCGACCATTATTCCATTCTTAATCAGGACCTTAATTATTAGACCAGCATTAGGGGTCGACCACAGAGGCTGGGATGTTGATTTATGATTCTCGGTGGTGATAAGTTTCAAGGTTGTCCAATAGATCAAGCCCCACATTCCGCTTAAAGTAATGATGGTCTAAACCATGGTGATAAGTTTCAAGGGAAAAAAGAAGCTTTCTAGGGATATTATTGACGATGATGCTACATAAGGCAGGCATTCATGTATAAACCATGGTAATTTCTTTATTTGTATAATTAGTAGCCATACATTTGACTTTAACAACAATAACAGTCTATATGTAAAAGGCTTTAAGTGTTGTTTACTTACTTTTAATCGACTTGATAGGGACCTAAGGATTATTTGTTGATGTATTGGAAAACAAACCGCTTTGATTATCAGAAGGATAGATTGAACTTTTGTGTTTATTGAAGCATGAGCCCACATCAAATAGAAGTCGCCTATAAGTATAAGTTTCATGCACTAAATAATCAACTCAACTCATCAAAAACAAAATTTCTGTTCTACCATCTCCTTAAAGTTTTATAGCATCAATACTAAGTCGATTATCAACCACCATATCCCATGAACATTGCCAGTGTCTCCTTTTCAGGTAGATTCCTAAGCCGTCAACTTGTCATCATTGCAGAGATCACCAAATTTAAAGTAATGTATAATCATATTGTTTCAATGGTGCTACTGAAGAGCCACAAGATTCCCATATTCTCCTGTTTTTGAAAAAAGAAGTATGTTAAAGCAATTAATCTGAGTATATAGAGACACTATTGAACATGAAAAAAGAAAAAGATTATGGCTCACCCGAAGATCATCAAACTCCCACTCAAAATTACAACCAACTTGCACAAATTCAAGAAAATTAAATATAAGAAATTAGTGCTAATCATGTTGAAATAATATACGCGATTAATAAAGTAGTACGGTTGTATCATTAATTATGAAATTAAGGGCTAGAGGTAGTAAGGAGATGTGGTTGATTCGAGGCCGCACACTGAGTACGCTGGGCGTACCCTCGTACGCTATAGCGTACTCCCCTCGGTTTGTGTGCCCCAATCTTCTAAAATGCGTAGATTTCGCATACGAGCTCCATATTTGACCTTATTTATATCCACGTGTAGGTGAGAATATAATCTAAAACTTTCAATTAGACTTCGTTGGAAAATTTTGACTTTATTTTTAATTATATATTTTTAATAGGTCGGGACATGAAAAGACCGTTAAAAATTCATAACTTCTTCATCTGATGTCCTTTTTCGTCTGTCTTTTTACCGTTGTATTACTATTGTCGAGATCTTCAATTCTCGTTTAATTTGTGTAGGCTAAAAGTTGCTCGATCTCTATTTCGAGTTTTTAGTTGTCTACCGCTACTCCGAAACTTAGAAAAATCATAACTTCGTCATACGAAGTCAGATTTGGACGTTCTTTTATGTACGTTCATGGTTTAATGATATTTACGAATTTAATTTAGATATCTAAGGCTAAAAAGTATTTTATTGAAATTTCGCGTTTTACGCTTAACAGTGTTTTACCGAATTCACTGCGGATTTTCGATTGGTCATAACTTCTTCGTTACAACTTGGATTTTTGTGTTCTTTACATTTTTGAAAACCTTGTTACGATATCTATTACTTTATGCAACCCAATTGAGACTTTTGAACATTTTATTTTTTATGCTAGTTTTATTATATCAAAAGGAGATTACAAATCCTTGACTTTTAAGTCATTACACTGACTTGAAATATCGGGTTATCACATAATCCCCCTGTTAGAGAGAATTTCATCCCGAAACTTATTCTAAGATAAGTATTTATGGACTAGGGAAAAGATGCGGGTATTTTTATTGCATCTGATCTTCATGCTCCCAGGTGTATTCATGTCCTTGCTTTGCATTCCAGCGGACCTTCACAATGGGTATGCGACTTTGTTTTGTTCTTTTAATTTCCCTATCCATGATTTCTATTGGTTCTTCTACAAAGTGGAGACTCTCACTAATTTCAATTTTGTTTAGAGGGACGACAAGGGTCCTATCAAACAAGCACTTCTTTAAGTTTGACACATGAAAGGTAGGATGCACGTTATTGAGTTCCTACGGTAATTGAAGCTTGCATGCTATCGGGCCGATCCTGGAAAGGATCTTGAATGGTCCGATATACCTTGGATTTAGTTTCCCACGTTTTCCAAAACGTATTAATCCCTTCCATGCAGAGACCTTCAGTAGTACCCGATCCCCAACCTAAAATTCCAAGGGCTTCCGTCTTTTGTCTGCATAACTCTTTTGTCTGTCTCTTGAAGCTTTTAGTCGTTCTCGGATTTGGACAATCCTCTCGGTTGTTTCTCTTATGATTTCTGGGCCGATGAGAGTGCTGTCAGGTAGTTGTCCCTTAGCTAGTTGCGTGTTACCCACTTCAGCCCAACACATAGGTGATCTGCATTTGCAGACATAGAGGGCTTCGAATGGAGCAACCTTGATGCTAGTGTGATAGCTATTGTTGTACGAGAACTCGACTAGTGATAAATGGGTATTCCATGCCCTACCAAAATCGATCACACAAGCTCTTAGCATATCTTCCAAAGTTTGAATGGTCCTCTCACTCTAACCGTCGGTGTGTGGATGGTAAGCGATACTCATGTCTAGTCTCGTCCCTAGAGATTTTCGTAGTGACTGCTAGAACCGTGAGGTGAATCTACTATCTCTGTCGGAGATAATGGATATTGGTACACCATGCAGTCGCAGAATCTCTCTGATGTATGTTCGAGTTAGTTTCTCCATCTTGTCAGTTTCCTTTATTGGTAGGAAGTGCACAGATTTGGTTAATCTATCGACGATCACACAGATAGTGTCAAGTCCGCCCGCTGTTTTGGGTAACTTGGTTATGAAATCCATGGTTATCCGCTCCCACTTCCACTCGGGTATTTCAGGTTGTTGTAACAATCTCGAGGGCTTTTGGTACTCTACTTTGACTTTGGCGCAAGTCAAACACTTGCCTACATAGGCAGCAATTTCGACTTTCATGTTCGGCCATCAATATAATTTATTGAGGTCCAGATACATCTTGTCTGAACAGGGATGCAAAGAGTATCGAGTCTTATGACGCTCATTCATGATAATGTCTCTGAATCCACCAAACTTCGGTGTCGAGATTCGATTCATGAAGTAACGAACTCCGTCACCCTTGACTTCAAGATTTTTATCCATTCCTCTTAAGGCTTCGCCAGCCACGTTTTCTGTTTTCAAGGCTTCCATTTAAGCTTCCTTGATTTGTGTGGATGGGTATGAATGGATCGTCATGGTTAAGGACTTCACTCGACGGCCCGAGTACTCCTTTCGACTGAGAGCATCAGCTATTACATTACCTTTTCCCGGATGATAACGAATCTCGCATCCGTAATTGCTTAGTAGTTCAACCCATCGTCTCTGTCTCATGTTGAGTTCTTTTTGGTTGAGAATATGTTGAAGGATATTATGATTGGTGAAGATTGTGCATTTCGTGCCATAGAGATAGTACCTCTAGATCCATAGAGCGAAAACGACTGCTCCCAGTTCCAGGTCGTGGGTAGTGTAGTTGACTTCATGCATCTTGAGTTGTCTCGAGGCGATGCGATGACCTTTCCTCGTTGCATTAGAACACATCCCAGACCTTGGTTTGATGGGTCGCAGTAGACCACAAAGTCTTATGTTCCTTCTGGCAGGGATAATATAGGTGCGCTGCATATGGCTTGTTTCAGTGTTCGGAACGCAGTGTCTTGCTTTTCTCCCTAATTGTAGGTTACAACCTTCTGAGTCAGGGTGGTAAGTGGTTTGGCAATCTTTGAGAAGTTTTGTATGAATCTTCGGTAATAGCCAGCATGGCCCAAGAATTGTCGGATTTCCGTTGGATTTCTTGGAGCTGACTAGTTCTCGATTGCCTTGATTTTGGAAGGGTCAACGTGTATCCCTTCTTTGCTGACCACATAACCAAGGAAATCTACTTTTCGAATCCAAAATTTGTTGGATTAGTGTTTGAGTCCATAACTATTTTGGTATGTACTTGACCCGATGCTGCATGGTCCTTTTGGGTTGCCTTCACCAAAGCAACTTGATAGGATGAATTATGGAGAGAAAGGATTAAATATGATTTATTAATATATTATGAGAATAATATATTAAAGGAGAAATCATATTGTTTAATTAATATTAGTCAAGAATTAATAAGAATTAAGTTTGTGGCTAAAAGACATTAATTAAACTTAAGGGACTTGAACTGTTAATTGTATAATAGTTGAATATTGAGGTAATGGACTCCATATTAAAAGGGGTGGACGAATTCTATGGGGAAACCCATTAGAAATCGTCCAAAGGCCTTTAAGTAATGGGTTCATGGGTTGCTTAGGGCCTAAGCATCCAAATTAGGGTTTCCTTGTTAGATAACCCTAATAGCCTCACTATTTAAGGACCCCTTGGGCACCAAAAACGTGGGAAACTGAATCCTTAGGGTTTCTACACGTTTTTGAGTGTATCATTCTCTTCTCTTCTTCATCCTCTTGCTCTTGGTGTTTGTGAACCATTAGAGGAGTGACATTTG